AATACTACTAATGCTACGACTGATCCGCGAGCAATGCCCAAACCACTAAAGTCGCTACTAATGCCAAATTGTGTTATACTGCTAATGGCACTAATGCGATCGCTTTGTACACAACAATTCCATCGCGGTTTACACCTCGCATTAGTATATCACTGATTGGCAAATTAGAGAAAACCAAGAATGTTTTTCTCATTTTATCAGCAAAGTCGCAAAAAGTCGCAGTATTTTATTTTACTGTATGAAAGCCCAATGTTTACTAAGTAAAACGTATATATACAATATGCTGAATTCTTCGAAATGCGCAACTAAATCTCTAAGTATAATAAAAATGTCACAAATTTAATCAAATTTTCTGAACGCCCAAGTTGCAAAAAAAAATCGTTAGTATAGAGAATATCAAAATTAATAATACGTTTTTGTAGAATACATACCTGCAGCTTGCTGAGCCATTTTCAATCAAAACAATAATATAAACGTAAAAAGAGCACAAGAACAAAAACAATTTATAATTTTGGACATAAAATTTAGCCATTTACCTCTTATCTGTGAGAAGTAACAACTTTAACGTTTCGTTGAAACAAATGAATGCAACTAAACACACCCATAGCAACGCCATTCATTGCAGACATGATTTAACTTATCATTTATCTTTTTTTGGGAAATCTTAAACACATTTGCTTTTTCGAATTTCGATCACCTTTTTCATGCTAATACCCCACCGTGAGGCGGTGTGACATAATTTTTGCGAGAATTTTTCCTCCGATAGCCAGTAGTGAAATTCCTCGGTAGTTTCCGCAATTTGATGCACTTCCTTTGTTCTTAAATATATTCACTATATTTGCATTGCGAAGATCCTGAGGTACCGCTCTGCTTTCCCATATGACATCGAAGAGAGCCTTAAGGTGACCAATAAGTTCTTTACTTGCACACTTATAGATTTCCGCTGGAATCGCGTCACAGCCAGCCGATTTGTTGTTTATAAGTTGTTTTATGGAAGCGTTTATTTCCTGTTCCGTTATTGGGATATATAATACATGTATTAGATGTATTATTTCATAAACACTTTCATTAAAGCAAAAGAAAAGAAATCATAAAAATTATCACTAGCTAAAAACTTTAATAATACTATTTTAACAAAAATTCAGGGTAATAAAAATGTTTCTGTTATTTCTCTTTAATGATTGTCCCATTAACAACTCTGCCATAAGAATAACTTCTATTTTTTTGTTTTGAAGAATTTAGTAACAAAAAAATGGTGAGCCTAATATTTATGAGAATTATTCAGAGGACAACCGGTACACTACATTTAAAAGTTTTCTAATACAAAGTTGTCTGCACGTACCTGTAACTTGCTCGTAGCTGATGCTATAAAAAGTAAGTCTAGCAAGTTTCGAAGTATAGCACAATATATCGCCAAAGTAATCGAGGATCTAACGTGGCATACTAACAAATTTCTTATAGAAAATATTGATTAGAATTGTAAAGCGGCTGAAAGTTCGAAGCTATATTAAAGTTGGGATCGTTTAGACGACACAAAATACCTAGGAGTAAAAAGTTTTGTCAGGTATTACTAATTGCTTTATATAGGATATTAAATAACTTATTCCAATCTAGATGAATATATTAGTTTTATAAATTTCAGGCTGTTGTACTTGTCGTGTCATCTATCAAATAAGGAAACAATGTCTGAAACAACTATTCATTAGATCTGCTGTTCCAAATATTTGCCACCTACTTTCTCTTGGCCTTTTTTTTATTTACTTCTTAATTCATCTTCTTGTAGTGCAAGAACTATATAAATCTGAAATCACTCAACAAAAAATTACGAATATTTTTTCTGATGCCATGTTAACTTTAACATCTTTGACAAAAATAATATAACTAAATAAATCGTACTAATGAAGATATACCGGGTGTTATACTACAGTGGCTCACCCTTGTAATTTTTTGTTTTTTCAGATAAATAATTAAATTTGGTTTGTTGGTATAGGACATAAATCGGAACTTTTGATTTTTAAGGATTCAGGATTGTGAATCCCAAGTACTCATTTAAGGCTGAGTCGACACCTCGGTACCCAAACTATTTTTATTTTATTTAAAATAGTCGGCTGATGAAATGCCAGCAGTAGGATTCGAACGCACAACCTTTAGATTGGTAGACGTGAGCTGTACCTCTACGCCACCGAGCACCTATTTAACAATATTTAACTTTATTTGATAAAAATACATTTCTCATTGTCATGTCATTCTACTCAAAATGTAAAAATACATTTTGAATAGAATGACATATCATATGTCATTCTTCAAGTCAACTTGTGACATGTGAATTTTCAATTAAAAAAATAATTCTTTACATTTCAATCTAGAGTACCAAGGCGAAGCCAGATCTGTCATGCACAGGTTAATTCACGGTCAGCAGCACATAAGCCAAACGCATAGTGCTGCTAACCAGAAGCTAATCGAAGAGCTAAAAGCAGACAAAGTATTGGGATTACCAATTGATGCAACAGCTACTAGGTATAGCTTCAACAACAAATTTAATATAACCATACCAGGAAGGGAAGACTGGAGTAAAGGTCTACCCATTCAAGCTGAGGCAACCTGGTATACAGACGGCTCAAGAACGTCAGAAGGCGTAGGAGCTGGGATAGTAGGGCCGAAACAAGGGAGATCCTTCCACGTAAGTCTATCTAAGGATGTCACAATTTTCCAGGCAGAAATAACGGCAATCCACTATTGTGTAGAAGAAATAATAAGGGAACAAAGAACAAATCATTCTGTAGCCATCCTCGGAGGTCAATTCTAGACTAGTGTGGGACTGTGTGCGTGCTCTGAATACTTTGGGCGAACGTAGCACTGTTACGCTGGCTTGGATGCCAGGGCACGAGGGTCACAAGAGTAACGAAAAGGCAGATGAAAGGGCCAAGCAAGGCTCATCAATGCCATTCATAGGCCCAGAACCCTTCTACAGCGTTGCAGAGGCGGTCACGAGAATGGCCACGGAACGATGGGTGGCCAACAAATCTCTAGAATGGTGGAGAAACTCACCAGGGCAGAGACAGGTGAAAAGGTTCATTGTAGAATATTCGCCAAAATTTACGGTAGACTTGATAACCAAGGACAGAAAGACAGTCAAAGCTGTAGTAGGTCTACTAACAGGGCATTGTAGTGTAGGTTCTGCCAATCTGAAGAAGAATCGTCAGAACACATTTTATGTCGGTGTGACAGCCTGGCAAATGTGCGGTTCCCGGTAAAAGGCAATTATAGGCCATTGCCAAGGAGCTCCATGGAGGGTTCAGTCTCCAAGTTGCTAAATTTTGTGAAAAGAATAGGACTGGGGAATGTAATCTAAGGATCAGAAGAGGACCACAATAGATCTGAGAAGGTCGCAGTGGATCAGGCCGAAAGCCACCTCTAAGAATCTAATCTAATCTAATCTAGAGTGCCATGGCTGTGTTCTTCTTCTTCTTTACGTGCCGTCTCTTTCGTGGAGGTTGGCGATCACATTGGCAAAATCTTCACGATTCTCGGCTTTAAAATGAATATTATTATATGGCTTGTTATGGCTGTGTTAAATCAATAATTTTTAAGCCTTGGAAAAATAGATTTGATCATCTAATGCTTTTTCGTGTCCTTTTTTAGTGGGTAAAAAGATGACCAAATCGTATTTTTAATAATAACATAATTTTTTTTTAAACTGAATTAGGGTGGCTCATTAGCATATTTAAGACAAACATTTGTTTACGAATAAATCGATACCACATACTTGGCATGTCGAGTCAAATTATCGTTGAATTTGTTGTTGAAATATTCTAGATTGAAATTTAAAATATAATTTTTTAAAGGAAAATGTCAAAATTGACATGTGACATGTGTCTATTAAAAATGTAATTTTCTACTAAAGGTATCATTTAAAAATCAAAAGTTCAAAATACCAAATCTTGTTTTTTTTATCTGAAAAAATATAAAAGTAATAGGAGTGAGCCCCTTTTAAAAAACTCCCGATATAATCAACGGTATAAAAGGCCTGTTTCACATTATACGGTTTTCGACCGTGCGGCAAAAAACCGTACGGCTGTTGAAATGAACCGTACGGCTGTTGAAATGAAGAAAAACATGGGAAACCGTTGACGTATAATGTGAAAGATTCCATGCCTTTCTTCATTTCAACAGCCGTACGATTTTTTGCCGCACGGTCGAAAACTGTATAATGTGAAACGAGATCTAAAAAAAATATTCTAGTTTCTTACTTATCTATTAAAACTGTTTATAAACCAAGGTCATTTTCCCACACTTTACACACCAAATATTTATTCATTTAACACTACTTTTCTAGGGCAACGGCCCAGCTATGTGAAACACAGTTTCCAGATAAATTTAAGAAATTAAGCGACGTTAGACGATGCAAGTAGATGATAGACCGTCATGGGTGACCGTCTGGAATCTCTGTCGTGCTGTTGTTCTATGGCAACAGTGTAAATTCTATTGACACACCGCACGGTGGAGGGCTTCGGGGACCCTTAAGTTTAGCCATGTAATACGATATTATTAATTTATTTTATCAGAAACGACTCCGGAGTATGTACTTTGAGTAAAGTTATGTACACACTACAAATTCACGCCGCCGCGTCGGCCGCCGCCGGTTCGAGGCAGGATGAGATCGGATATCTCGTGAGTAAGAGCCGATTTAGACACTCGCCAAATCGATAAGCTGTTAATAATGAAATGACCGAAAACCGGGGTAGAATACTGACATTTATACTACTTTTCTGTTTTTAGTCTGTTCCAGAAACTACGCCAGTAATGTTCTCAAATCTTGGAAAATTGATTATATTTTCTGTGATCGGATCACTGTAACAAACAGTTTCTTTATATTTTGCTTGTCTATGATGAATAAGCCATTACACAGTGAAAAAAGTATAAATGAATATTTTAAAATTAGGCTTATAAAACTATGTGACTTGGTTGATATGTATTAATTATTTTTGTTTTATTTCTAGGGATGTAGCAGAATCGTATTGTAAAATATTATGAGTGAACTGCAGTCGACTATAGAGTTTTCTGTGGAGCTTTATAAATTTTATAATGTTGATTTATTCCAAAGAGGGTAAGTGTATATTAGTACTACTTTCATATTAGTGGTAACGGAAACAATTCTTAATCCAATTGTTTTATTTGTTGGATGTGAGGAAGAAAATATATTTGTCGAAACGTCGATCTATCACTAAAAAAACTGAGTTTTATTTTGACCCACATCCAACATATAAAAATAACAATAACTATTTTGGGGTCACTAAAACAACGAAGTATTCTTAGTTTTTCACATGTTATAAATTGTTTTTATTGGTTGATAAACTTCTATTAATTTTTGTATTTTACTAAAGAATTTATTATACAGAATTAATTACTCAAATACGTATTGCTATACCGTGCTGGCAACTGTTACTTTTGGGTCGGCATTTACATGTGTGGAAGTAAATCGCATAGGGATCTTATTAAGTCGGAGTGAGAGAAATGCGACCGACCGACGCGATGCGCGACGGTGTGCTGTTGCGGCGTTGCCGATACGCCTTTCCCTATCAAGTAAAGTAAAATCGCGATCGCAAACCGCTTATTTTTAAAACACTTTTTTTTTCAAGAGATAACTAAATAAAATCATTAGACATGTTTCTGAGCATCTGAAATGGAATTATGAGGATATCGTTAGGGTGTCATTTTTTTATAACGAAAACGTCAGTAATCAGGATAATTTAAAAACGCAACCTTTTAACACATAACAGGCCATAACTCAAGAACCGCTTTAGATATTGAAACTTTTTTTTTATTTTTAAGATCGGATATTTTACAATATATTTACATAAGAAAACTTCGATAAGGTTGTTTTTTCCATTCATAAATTGTAAACAATCCATCCATTTACTTTTAGAACATAGCAATTTTCAGCAATCGTGTAATTTTTTTATTGATAAAGATTTTCACATACTGTCTACAAAGAAAATACAGCAGAAATATTAACAAAGTTCTTGAAAAAAACTACAATCTATTATTTCTAATAGATTTCGGGATATCGATTTTTGAATTCAGAGTTCTAATAGCGCGACCACTATCGGTTACCCACTCAATTCCATTTATTTTCACCAAAAATGCAAGTGTTTCTAGCTTGCACTTAAAAAAATTTAAGCTAAAAGGAAACTTACAACGACTCGTTAATAAATAAACAAATTAAGTATCACGAGACGTAATTAAATCGTGAAGCTGAATGCATGATGTACACCTTTCCCTAGAAGTTTAAGTACTGACAGAGGTATTGATTGGGTCGACCGGTCAACTGCACTTGTGTCTAGCCCTAGCAGGCCCGACCAATCACGTTAGAGTTTTTGACAAACACAAATGAATTAACACACTTCAAATAACCACCGACCAATCACGTTAGAGTTTTTGACAAACACAAATGAATTAACACACTTCAAATAACCACGCTAACCAACCTGATTGGTCAAGCTTAAAAGTTGACTGCTAGGGCTAGACACTTCTGTCAACTGCGACAAACCTGATATATCCCCTTCCACGTCTCTTAGCGATGTGCACAGTTTCTCGGTTTATTTCATACGTTTGGCAACGTGTTTACTGTCCTCTCTTTGTTCAATACATTATAAACGCATTGTACTCTTCTTGCAAGTGTTTCTAGCTTGCATTTAAAAAAATTCAAGCTATAGGGAAAATTACAACGACTCGTTAATAAATAAACAAATTAAGTATCACGAGACGTAATTAAATCGTGAAGCTGAACGCATGACGTACACCTTTCACTAGAACTTTAAGTAGTGACAGAGGTATTGATTGGGTCGACCGGTCAACTGCAACAAATCTGCTATATCCCCTTCCACGTCTCTTGGCGATGTGCACAGTTTCTCGGTTTATTTCATACGTTTGGCAACGTGTTTACTGTCCTCTCTTTGTTCAATACATTATAAACGCATTGTACTCTTCTTACATACGGAAATCTCGACCCAAGTTATACCTGTTTTTAAATTTCTTCAATCTCTAGTATATGTCTAGTATCTCTCCTCAAAGTAATTCAATTAATGCGGTAAATAAACATAAAATTTGATACAATATTAATTTTGATATATCCTCGTTAGGGTTTCTGGTTCTTGACCTTTTTTATTTCTCGAGGCACGAGAATTTCTTCAGAATTTCTTGAGTTTCTCGAGTATCTCGAGAAATTTTTAATAAATCACGATGTTATTTTGATTCTTTTGCTTTATTATAAATTAGCCTAATAGATGAGATTAATTCAATGAAATAGTAACTTTTCAGATGTTGCACTTATTAACAAATTAACAACAAACAATAACACATTTAACAACACATTAAACAACACAACTAAAAAACAATGAAATATCGATCTGTGACAATTTCGTTGTTATCCAGTATATTTTTTATTATCCAAAATAATAAAAACTCTATACCGTGCTAGCAACTGTTACTCTTGGGTCGGTAATTACATGTGTGGAAATAAATCGCATAGGGATCTTATTAAGTCGAAGTGAGAGAAATGCAACGGTGTGCTGTTGCGGCGTTGCCGGTACGCATTTCCCTATCAGGTAAAGTAAAATCACGATAGCAAACCGCTTATTTTTAAAACCGACTTTTTTTTCGAAAATATAACTAGATGAAATCATTATATATGTTTTTGAGCAACTGAAATCGAATTATAAGGATATCGTTAGGGTATCCATTTTTTTATAACGAGAAAACGTCAGTAATCGAGATAATTTAAAAACTCTGAATAACTTTTACACGCCATAACCTAAGAACTTTTTTTTTATTTTGAAGATCGGATCTTTGACAATATGTTTAAATAAGAAAAATTAGATAAGATTGTTTTTTTCCATTCAAAAATTTTAAAGAAAATTAAATGGATGGGATTTAATTTTAGTGCATAGCAATTTTGAGCAATCGTGTAGCTTTTTTATTTATAAAGATTTTTACATACTGTCTGCAAAGAAAATATAGCAGAAATATTAAGAAAGTTTAAAAAAAAACTACAATCAATTATTTCTAAGAGCGTTCTAATAGCGCGACCATTGTCGAACACCAACTCAGTTCCACTTATTTTTACCAAAAATGCAAATGTTTCTAAATTGCACTTAATTTTTTTTTTTATTATAGGGAAAATTACAACGACTCGTTAATAAATAAACAAATAAAGTATCACGAGACGTAATGCAATCGTAAAGCTGAACGCATAATAAACACCTCACCCTAGAATGCCGCGCGCCGTTAAGTACTGACACAGGTACTGATTGGGTCGACCGCTCGATTGCGACAAATCTTTAGCGGCTGCAGCCTGACAGGTCACAGTTGTGCCTGGGGTGTTTTTGTTTTTGTCAGCACTATAACCCTAACCTCAAATTTTCTTTGATAGTTTTCAAAACGGGCACAACTGTGACCTGTCAAGCTGCAGCCGTTAGTCGACAACATATACAAACTAAAATATATGGGAAACTGAAATTGAGATCTTTGAAAGGACTTTTTCACCGCAACCAGTTATACACAAATTTATTAGTTCTGTGACGAACCACCGGTCGCGCTTGAGGAAAAATATTATGACTTTTAGCGTTTTTCAAATCAAATCAAGTCAGTTTTAATCAAATAATATGCACCGTCAAAAATCGAAAAAAGTTTTACTGAAATTTTAGTGATTGTTTAAACTTTTTATTAAAAACATTAATGGAATCAGGCCGTGTTGTTCCGATGCCGGCATGCATGGAGTTGTTTTCCAAAAGACATACATTCTCGAAGAACGATCCTACATTATCTCAAAAGTGATATCAAGTGCGAAACCTTAAAAGTAAGTATATATGCATTTAGTTAAATAAAGAACGTTTTCAGATATTTTGTTCTAATAAAATTAAAATGATCATTTTAGATGATCAACCTACTGGTAATTTGGTATCCAGTGATGTCAATCCAGGTACAAACCCTGTATTTAAAGACAAACATTTGTTGTAGAACTTGTTGGTAGACCACTCTCTCGTTGGTATTAGACATGGACTGTTACCTGAGAAAAACAGTAACTGAAAAGGGTAGGTACCTACACCGTGGGCCAAATTAAAGTCGCAAAATATTCAGTAATGAAGATCAAAAAAAAATCATATCAACTTTATAACAAAAAATATTTTAATTGAGCTGTAAATAAACAAGTTATGGCAGTAGCTACTTTAATTTGGCAGAGAGTGATTCAATTATTAGATATTCCAAAGTTTATTAAAAATATTAATATGTATTACTAATCCAAACTGAATTTGGTTTATTAAAATTATCGTTTTAGATTTTTTAAATTGTATCTATCATTTTAGAGAAAGGATCAGATAACCCAAATCAGGAATCTTCCAGAGTGCAGATGTTGCAGTTTTGTGAGTGAGGTAAGATCTGTCTCTTGTAAGACCTCTTTTAAGAATTTACCCAGGCAGTTGTTTACACCCAAGTTAGGTAAGAATTAAAAATTACAATAAGTGGAGGATACTACTCAAAAATGTAAATTTGCTTTATCAGCAATTGTTTTTGAATCCTGCTTATTTTAAAAGGCATATAAACACCATAATTATTTCTTATAAAAAATAATGCCTGTGTTAACTCAAAGACTAAGATAAAAAGTTCATAGCCAATTTCTGTTGAGATTTTAGAGCCTTCAACGGCATCCACTTTTAATTTTTTCATCCTATAAACCATACTCGAGGTTTTTTTGATGTGTCACATAATTATACAAATTTATTTGTTTCAGATCTCAAGCATAGCAAAGGAATCGTACAACCTGTGAATTCAGTTTAATTACTGAGATCAAGGATGATGAAACATTCATTATGATTATACAGAGCTACAAAGAGTTATGTTGAGAATCCAAATTATCATAATGAATTGAGACGAGACAATACCTGGGTAGAAATTGAGGAAAATGCAAAATAAAAGGCATTTTTATATTAATGTTATGAATCCAATGTTTTATCAAATCGTCACATAGATAATATTTCTGTACGCATAATACAAAAATTAAAAGGTCAGCTTAAAACAACTTTACTTATCCATCGCGTGCGAAAAACAGTGCTTCGCATATGGCATATGGCTTCGGCGCGCTTCGCTCAAGTGCGCATCATGCTTTAAACTTTTGCGGAGCGCCGGAGCGGCCAAAATGTCATTGGATTAATTGCATGTATTTTGATTCTTCGCGTTACTTCGCTTTAATCCGTCGGTCTGCATTTTTATACATAGATATCATTGATCCAATTCACGTTTTCTCGCCGCGCTTCGAATAAGTTCGCGACAAAACTATGTTAGTTGTATTTTATATTATTTAATGCCATTGTATTGATTTATTATTATTATTGTATTTATATGAACAAGTTAAGAGTAGCAGTGCCGTGCGAGCCTTCGTCTGAAAAAGAAATTTTATTTATTATATAATTTGTATTATTTACTTTTTTTAATAAAGTTATTACTAATAATTATTATTAAACATATCCAGTTTTAATTATTTTTATTTTATTAACTATAGCTGTTTTTTCTATCTATTTCATATTTTTTGATGAGGATAAGTTATAATTCTAAGTCTATGTAATGTCATCTGTTTCAGAACAATACGATATAATGGAGCGATGTCGCATTTAGAGTAACTTATTCTTATTAAAAAATAGGAAATAGAAGAAAAATCAGCTATTTCTGTACAAAAAAATAAATTACGTTCCAAAAAATTGATAATAGATGGCGCTAGAGTGGACAAAGCAATTAAAGTTACCTGTAGTTAAAATGTAAAGTTTCCTGTAAAATAAAATAAAATTGTATCATAAGTTGTGTAACGACCCGATGCATGGCGCCACTGAATTCTCCAACAGACGGTATCATTTCAGTTTCCTATATATGGTCGACAAATCTGCTATATCACCTTCGACGTCTCTTAGCAATGTGCACAGTTTCTCACACAGTATTTCATATCTTTGGTAACGTATTTACTGTTCTCTCTTTGTTCAGTATATTATAAAACGCATTGTACACTTCTTACATACGCAAATCTCGACCCAAGACTAACCTTTGCGAGCCCTTAGTATATGAACTAATAAAACTACTTTGATATTCGTTTTGATACTTTCCAATAATCAAAACCATAGCAGATCGATGTTAATTAGGTTAGAGCGTCGTTTTATCACTTTATGTCTTATGGCGTGGCCCCACATGAGGCGTACGACCTAGCGTAGCGTAGAGCGGAGAGGACCGTGAAGCTTTTAAATACAATGAAGTAAATACCGTATGATCGAATAAAAACGGCGTCAGCGATGGCTATGAAATGAAGATCGCTGTCATTTTATATGTAAAATTTTATGGGAACTGTCATCGATCGTCATTTCCAAGCCAACTGGACGCCGTTTTTTTTCGATCATACGGTAGTAAGTACAGGCGGACTGATACGTATTTTTTCTATTGTCCGCTCCGCTCTACGCGTGCTGCTATGTTGGGCCACGGCCTTAATAAACTATCGGTATACATTTCAGCATGTACCAAATCCGTTGTTCTCTACGCGTCTCCGCCAAATTGGGGGCAGAAGTGGAGGTGGCGACGCCGGAAGTGACCACCGGCCTTGGCTCGGCCATTGTTCTGGGGAATTACGGTGCCTGCAGACCGTTCCAGATACTGTACAGGAACGAGGAAGTGCCCTTGAAGGACGTCTTGTTATTCAGGTAAATAGAAACGATAGCGAGAGCATTTCAAGACAGCACATTCATTTCAGCACAATATCATAAGGAATTTAAATAGACACAGCTTTTGAAGATAGAAAATAGATTTGTTTATAAAGAGCCGCATTTCAAGTATCATTGATAAAGGTTGTTTTGGCGCTCGAAAATGATCAAAATATTGTGTACTACTTATAAACAAACAAGTGTTCCTTATTTATACTTTGTAAACTTTTAACCCTCAGCGGGCATTACTAATTTCGTTAAAACAAAATATCCATTGGACGTATTTCGGTGGTGCCATTAAATATTCTTATTTAGGGATATTACATTCTGGGTCGTAGTAGTTGCGTATCCAGCTTTTGTTCTTGTGTCGTCCACAATTGTGTGTTATTTGTTCTCTTTTCGATTTTCTAGCAGATCTCCTCCAGGTAATCCATTTCGGTCGCTAATAGCATGTTCTCCGTTCTGCTTTTCAGCTACCATACTTCGCTTCCGTATGTTATTATGCTTTTCACTACGGTATTATACTCTTATTAGCTTTAGAAGTTCCTTGATCCCACAGTACACCATTCAACATAGATATTGCCCTTCTGCCTTGCATTATTCGATCTTTAATACCCTCGTCGAGTTTTTCATCGTTAATTATTTTTAATCCGAGATATTTATATTTGTCACAGTTTTTTATCAATTCTTCCATCCTCTAAGACTATGTTCTCTTGTGGCCCCTCTACAGTCATACATTCAGTTTTGGTGATATTTACCTCCGACCCCCATTTCTTATACTCCTCTATCAGCTTCCTTGCCATATATTCAAGGTCGTCGTGATCTTGGGCTAGGACTATCTGGTCGTCCGCAAAAAATAGGGTGTATAGGGTGTCCTCATTTATTAGGGGGATTCCCATTCCTCTACACTTAAGCATCCATTTTTTTACTGCTTGTTGCAGGTATATTTTGAATAGTATAGGAGATAGGCAACATCCCTGCTTGAGGCCTTTTGTAATTTTTATGCTTTTTGACAATGAGTCTCGTATTTTTATTCTAGCTGTGGTGTTCTGGTATAAGTTCTTAACTGCTTTAAATAGGTTGACATTAGTTATTTCCAACGTTTCCCACAATTTATTTAATGGTATGCTGTCATAAGCCTTTTGGAGGTCTATATATAGTAGTATGTATGTGATCTTTTGCCGTTTTTTTCTCTAAGACCTGTGTTATGGCAAACAGATGATCCACAGTAGACCTTTCTGCTCAAAAACCTGCCTGTTCTTCTATTTCTATCTCTTTATACTCATTTTCTATTTTATTCTTTAGTATCTTTCCATATATTCTACTTAATGTACTTGTCACTGCCAAGCCTCTATAGTTTGCACAGTCTTCTCGATTTCCTTTTTTAAAAATCGTCGTGATATATGAGGTTTTAATATCTTTTGGTACTTCTGCGCCATCTATGCACATCTGGAAGAGTTTTGTTATATGTCGGTACAGATTTTCCGTCCCATATTTTATCAGTTCTCCTGGTATATCTCCCGGGCCTGCGGATTTACTATTTTTTAAATTTTTACATGTCTCCCTTACTTCTTTAGTTGTTATTGTGAGGGGAGATGCGGCAACTGTTATCCTTTCTTGTGTTTCTTTGCCTGTCTCATATGTTCTGTTCTCGGTAAGTAATGTTTTAAAATACGATTCCCATTTGTCCATTGTTACTGTCGATATTATGTCCTTATTTTGATTTTGTCTTAATTGTTTTATCATTTTCCAGCTTTCAGTACTTTCAGTACCCACATCCAACATAGTATAAAAATAACATTAACTATTTTGGGGTCACTAAAACAACGAAGTATTCTTAGTTCTTCAAATGTTATAAAATGTTTTTATTGGTTGATAAACTTCTATTAATTTTTGTATTTTACTAAAGAATTTATTATACAGAATTAATTACTCAAATACATCTTGCTATACATATAACTTAAGTTAAACCTGTTTTTAAATTTCTTCAATCTCTTGTATCTGTCTAGTATCTCTCCTCAAACTACTTCAATTAAGGCAGTAAAAAAACACAAAATTTGATACAATATTAATTTTGATAGGGTTTCTGGTTCTCGACCCTTTTTATTTCTTGAGGCAGGAGAATTAACAATAAGAATTTTTTGAGTTTTTCGAGTATCTCGAGAAATTTTTAAATTTTTAATAAATCACAATGTTATTTTTAATTTTTTGCTTTATTATAAATTAGACTAACAGATGAGATTAATTCAATGAAATAGTAAGTTTTTAGATGTTGCACTTAATAACTAACAAATCAACAACAAAGAATAATACATTTAACAACTCATTAAACAACAGAACTAAAAAACAATGAAATATTGGTCTGTAACAATTTCGTTGTTATCCAGTATATTTTTGATTTTTTATTATCAAAAATAATAAAGACTCTATATATGAACTAATAAAACTACCTTGATACTCGTTTTGATAATTTACAATAATTAATATATGTCTTGTTCGTGGCCCCACATGAGACGTACGACCTAGCGTAGCGTAGAGCGGAGAGGACCGCGAATCTTTTAAATCTAATCGAAAAAAGTTAAGGATATTGTGTTTTCGCTACGAACAAAATTTTTCAGAAAAAATGTGTTATAGCTATAAATACCTATGCCGTTTTAACAGTAGAGGAAGCAAATCAAGCCATTGGGTTGCTTCTTGGCGGTGCGCGACAGATCGATGTGGCTGATCGATTTAATATAATTTTTAGACTTAAAAACCGATTTAATGAGACTGGATCTGTCATGGAGAGGCATATGAAGGGTAGACCAAGGTCGATTGGAAGACCGTCCGAGGGTTAATACGTACCCTGCTGGCAGCCAAAAGGTCCCGGCTGAGCAACGTGTAGTTTCTTGCAGGATCCATCCTAGCTCCTCTCATTAAGCTTCGGTCCTCCCTAGCATTTGTCGACCCTCCCTATGCCTCTCCGTGACAGATCCAGTCTCATTAAATCGGGTTTTAAGCCTAGAAATTACACTTTAGGCATGGCTGAGAAACTTAAATGGAAATGACGGTTCATTAAAAATAGTTTTTCCTCCAAGATGCAGAGGCGCAAAATATTAAAACTGTCAATATTAACAATGCAAATGTCAATATCTGACAATAATAAAATTTGATTTTTAACTGTCACTCAGAGACGCTTTTGTTGTGATTTTACGGTTTGATTTTCGTTTTGATTTGTCGAATTATTGTAAAAATTAAATTCTTCAGAGTTTTTTGCCAGTATTCTGTTTTAGACAATGTTTTTAAAAATGGTGGGACAATTTGTGTTTTGTATAGACTCTAATTATTTTTATCATGGAGTTTAATTGTTGTACACCTGGTTTCCGAAGGATACAATGGTAAGTAAATTGAACATATCTACTTACAGTTATAGATTTTTTAAATTAGTACTGCTAATAAATGCTACTTGCAGAGCAGTTATTTAATTTTTTTTACGGTGCATGTAAGGAATTAAGGACGCGCGTTTTATATTAGCATGATCAGCAGATGATTACATCTAATTTAATTTGTTTTTATTATTTCAGGTCCCAAACGGAAACAAACTGGGACTCTTGCCTACACCAAAATTATATAGCCGTTTCCAATTCACTTCAAAGGGAGGAAAATTATGTAAAACTGCCTGCTATTTGCTGAAAACTGCCAAAGATTAAATTATAACTGTAACAACTTAATATATACTATTTCTAGTCTTTTTAATATATTTTTTAATTAATATCCGACATATAAGAACACTTTGTATGCTTTTAATTCAGTTGATTTATCGTTTATAATATGTTCAACCTAATTAAAAGCACACAAAGTGTTCTTACATGTATGTCTAAATTTATTTTAAATTAACTAAAACAACCCCCCTTCCCCGCACCCCTCTCTTCCATTTGTATTTCTTCCTCCATCTACCAGAGGCGCCCTTGTATAATAAAATTGAAATGTATTATAAGTTGCCTATCTATTTAATAGTATAAGTCTTTTATCTATGACTTTAGGTGACTTTTAATCGATCAGCCATATCGATCTGTCGCGCACCGCCAAGAACCAACCCAAAACCAACCCAATGGCTTGATTTGCTTCCTCTATTGTTAAGTGACGTCTATTCTAAAGTCTGTTTATATTATCGATGACAGAATAACCACAATATCGCAAACTACCGCTTAGCAACACGCAAACAAGTTCTATTCTAAACAAAAATTAAATGTACATTTTTGATGATAATGCTTTTTATTTGTTTGGGTGCAATTTTTTATGTTTACAAACAGTATTTTTTTTTAAACACAAACGACATAGGTATTAATAGTTATAACACATTTTTTCTAAAAAAATTTCTTCATAGCGAAAACACAATATCCTTAACTTTTTTCGATTAGTTTACATTGAAGTAAATGAAAGTGGCCACATACAGGCGGACTGAGGCGAAGTTTTTCTATTGTCCGCTCCGCTCCGCTCCGCTCTACGCGTGCATCTATGTTGGGCCACGGCCTTAATAAACTATCGGTATACATTTCAGCATGTACCAAATCCGTTGTTCTCTTACGCGTCTCCGCCAAATTGGGGCAGAAGTGAGGTGGCGACGCCGGAAGTGACCACCGGCCTTGGTCGGCCATTGTTCTTTTTGGGAATTACGGTGTTCGCAGACCGTTCCAGATACTGTACAGGAACGAGGAAGTGCCCTGAAGGACGTCTTGTTATTCAGGTAAATAGAAACGATAGCGAGAGCATTTCAAGACAGCACATCTATTTCAGCACAATATCATAAGGAATTTAACAGACACAGCTTTTAGAAGATAAAAATAGATTTGTTTATAAAGAGCCGCATTTCAAGTATCATTGATAAAGGTTGTTTTGCGCTCGAAAATGATCAAAATATTGTACTACTTATAAACAAACAACTGTTCCTTATTTATACTTTGTAAACTTTTAACCCTCCAGCGGGCATTACTAATTTCGTTAAAACAAAATATCCATTG